ACACCGGCTCCACCGTCACCGTCACGTCCATTCGCGCGACGGCGCGCTGCAAAGCCACGACCAGCCGGAGGCGAACTTGTTGGTACCGCCGGATGGCTGGGACTCGGCCTGTCAGCGGTCCGGCCGCCGGTGCCGACACGAGGCTGGCGAGACGACGCCGGACTCGAGGCAACGCCACCAGCGACGCGCGAGAAGCGGCTTCTCGAGGCGCGAGAAGACGAAACACGCCGCCACCGGCACCGACGAGACTGCCGGCAGCAACGTCGACGTCGACGTCGACATCAACGTCGCCGAGGGCGACGGTTGCGGCGGGGATCTGCCGCAGTTGCATGTGCGTCTGGCGGACGGTTCAACGGCCGTCTGTATCGGCCTGGACGCCACCAACAGTTACGCGCTCTTTCAACCTCTACAGCCCGTCGCCACGACGACCAGCTCAGCCTCTCTTTCGCCGACCTCTTTGGCCGGCCGGCCAGACGAGGAGACGTCCGAGGCAGCGCTGGCCGCCGATCGGATCGTTCCGTTCGCTTGGCTCTCTTCGGGCGCCACCTTTTTCTTGTCCTCGCCCAATCTGCTCATACCCTCTCCCAGTCTGCTGGACTCGGACGCCAACACTTCGGAAAACCCGGCGCCTTCTGAGGCTTCTGCGTCGCTGGAAATCACGACTTGCGGCCAGCGTCAGGCTGCCTCGGATTCTGAGGCGATACGCCGTCCCGGTGACCCGAATTCGCCTCCTCTCCAAGGCATTCCTTCAGACGGCAACACCGACAAGCCAAAAGTAATGCCCACATTTGCGTACTCGCAGCTGCCTCATCGCAACCGCGACAGCAACAGCTTATTTAGTGATCCGGTAGATCTAGACGCTAAGTGGGATTAGGCGATGAAGGACTGATTAATGTTGGATCACATTGCTTTTTGCTTGAAGAGACGAATGCAAAGGACGCATTGCTTGGTCTCATCGGAAGTTGAAGCAAATTGGCTTGAAGATGTGACTATAGATTTGTATCAATAACTCCTCGG